ATATATACATTAAATATAAAAATACAAAAGCGGATTACATTAAATTAAAAAATTAAGTCGTGTACAAAACTGTACAAAAAAAATAGTTTTGCTGAATATAAAAATTTGGCTAGTAAAATAATTTTATTGCGTTATCAAAATAATTACATAAGACTCATTAACTGATTTTTACAATAGCAAAACTTTTTGTATTATTATGTTATCATTATGCTTAAGTATCTTATATATTATTTTAAGCCCAAAAAATTTTTTCATTTGTATCTAGATTTTTAAATAATCCAGCAAAATAATTCTTTTCGTATAATTCTAATTTGTTCTAAAATTAAGCTATATCTTACGTTCTATATATGCCCATTAATAATGATGAAGCAAGGTCATGGTAAAATAAATAACATGTTTTATAATACAACATGAAATGACGACACTGTTAAATTTATGACTGCTGCACCCTACTTCACTCTACTTCGGAATATAACACACTGATAACGTTATCTTTTATTTCTGTCCATAGACATATAGGCCTTGACTCATGGATACATCATCCATGAGAAAATAGAATTATGAATTATTAATTTCCAGAAAAATATGGATCCAGAAAAATATATTGGTCGAGCAAAATATATTGATCCGCTCGTCATTGCCCCCGAAAACCGATATTTCGAAGAGAAGATCGTTTCCTATCGATGAGACGCGGAATGTTTTCGCGACGCGGTGCTCTTGATGACGAGTTGTCATTTGGCGGCTGTTCGGCTTCGACAAAGCAGCCGCGATTATTTTATTTTCCCGCTTTGAAGTTAATAAAGTTCATTCTCTTTTTCATAAAATTCATTCGATCTTGCTTATTTCGCGAGTGCGAAATTGTGTCTGAACGACGAACGCGACAATATACTTAAGAAAATCCGATCGTTTTAGCGCCGAATATAATTGCTAATTTTATTGCAATTACTAACGAGATCCATATATAAATATGATGATCGGAACAAAAGGAGAAACGAAGATTGCAAGGAGGAAGCCAAGGACTGCAATCCTGGTGAGAATCTGCGGCCGAGTAACGCGGCATAACTAATGACGAGGAGATAAACGGCTCGGCAAACGACGCGTAACGAGTGAAGGTGCCATGGAGATTTCGCGCGGAAACGGACCGGAAATTCTCGGGGGAAACCCCTTGTCAGGAAATTGTTAGGACCTGAACCGCCGGCGGAAGCGGATTCTCCGCCGCGATAGCGGAGGCAACGGCGATGGCGATGGCGGTGGCGGTGGCGGCGGCGACGGCGGCAACGAGGTCGACGTAGAGAAAACCGAGAAGAAAACCCACGGGATGCGGTAACAGCGTCGGTGAAACCCGAATTAGATGGTCGCTCGACTTGAGGTAAATAAAGAACGATCGCTCTTCAAAAGTCTGTTCCATGCGAGATTTACAAAAAAAAAAAAAAAAGAAAAGAGAAAGAAAAAATCGGTGACGTTATTTAAGAAAGATAATTCCCCGCTTGGAGAAGCGTCGAAATACTAGTAATAAGAAAATTAATATAAATATTTCAAAAGCGATAAATGTTTTTAATATAAGATATTTCGATAATGAAATAAATGATATCGATCTAAAATCTTTTGTAGAAATAAATCTTATTGCAAAAAAATATTACCTCGACTAGAATTTAAACTTGGAAGCTCTTGATATCTTCATCAGTTTGATCACTAAGACATATGATAATACTTATCGCAATAATCAGTTAAATAATGCAAGAACGAAGTGCATTTTCTATATATACAAATATATGTATATACATATGACGTATATATTGTAAATATTTAAAGATACATTGATAGATATTTTTGACAAAAAAAATATAATATATGTATGTATATATAATATATGTATAAAACTCTGATTTACTCTGACTTATACATATATTTATATATAAATGCAATTGCTGTATTTCTGTCAAATACATTTTATCAAAAGATTTTCAAACTAGTTCAAATCAGAATTATATCTCTAATATTTCAATAATCAAATACATAATATCATTATTTGTATTGTTATTTAATAATTATTAGGCACTAAGTCTCAGCCATGATGACTTATACATGTATATAGTAAAATATTTAAAGATTGATAAGTATTTTTAATACAAGAAATATAAATCATATATATGTATATGTATATGATTTATACATATTTCTTGTGTTAAAAATATTTCAATCAATCTTTAAATGTTTTACTATCAGCGGAAAATAATATTTTATTTATATATCCTATTATTATGTTGTATTATCTTGTTGCGATAATCACCGACTTAGTCGAAGCGGTAAACTCGTTGCGGAAAGTCAGAAAGTTTCAAATTCGATTTCTAGCTAAGGTAAGATGCAATAAAATTTTTCTCTAAGAAATTTTTAATCGATATTATTTATCTAATTATCAAAATATCAAGTCACAATTGATTGATAAAAACAAAGTA